GGAAGAGCATTTTGTGCTGGTGGTGATGTTGCAACTGTGGTTCGTGATATCACAGAAGGTAAAGGTCTTTCATTGTTTGGGGATCCCTGCACTAATTCTGTGGGTCGAAAAGATTTATGATGTACAATATTGCTGAGGTTGAAGCAGCTTCATTTTCATTCTACCAACTATAAAAATTCTTATTAGGAACTACTGGTTCAAAGTTAATAACTTTATATCATGGATTGTATTTGTTAGGTGATTGGAAATTGGGTGCCAATTTTTTTTCAAAGGAATACATTTTGAATTATTTAATGGCAACCTATAGGAAACCCCAGGTGATCTAGTCTGCTCTTAAAGTTTAATTTTCACTTTACAGTTTACAGTTATGTTAGTTTTAGCCAGTAATGCCCATGTATGTTTGTTCTTATTGTGAGCATGCAATTTGATTGAAGGTTTCTATTCTTAATGGAATTGTTATGGGGGGTGGGAATGGTGTTTCTGTACACGGTAGATTTCGTGTTGCAACTGAGAACTCGGTATGTTTCTTCCTACATCTGTTTTGAAGTAATATGAAATTTTCTTTTTCTTATGAAGAGATAACTTTGGCATATCAGCATCTGTTCTTGTAAATTATGGAAGATTCTATGCGTGGTGGTTCTGGTTTTCTGGGTTCGTATTTGCAGGTTTTTGCAATGCCTGAAACAGCTTTGGGACTCTTCCCAGATGTAGGTGCCTCCTTTTTCTTGTCAAGACTTCCCGAATTCTTTGGTAATTTCTCTTACATCTCAAACATCTTATATTTTATATCTATATAAGATTATATAAGCTCTTAGTCGTTGTTAACAGTTATATCTTCAAACTGCAAGTCCTTTGGAGAGCTAGATGCATTCTTTTTCCTTTTTAATGTTACAATGGCATAATGGAAATCATAATCTATTAGATATTTGGGACTTTGGTTCATGTCATCTCTACATGTTGTAGTGTTTCTCTTTCCATGTAGAGGTTATTTTGGTTGATACAGCCCTTTCATGTCATGTCAATTTTGTAGGAGCTCTTAAAGTTGTCAATTTGAGTTTCATATTCAATTTGCTTCTCATTAGTCTTCTACATGTTCTGTCAGGGGAATATGTAGGTCTCACAGGTGCAAGATTGGATGGTGCAGAAATGCTTGCATGTGGCCTTGCAACACACTATGTCCCTTCAACAGTATGACTCCCTTCTTATTTTAATCACTGAATTCGAAAAATACCAGAGTTCAAAATATGCAGTTAACATGTCAATTTTCCACTGAAATAGCTAGAATGTCTTCCAATTCTGGGGAAAGGATCTTTACTCTTTCTCAAGAAAATTCTCTAAGAACCTCTTTGAAACCCAAAATACAAAAAGTTGTCCAAACCTCACTAGCTCTATGCCTCGCATGTTTAAACTTTATTTCTTTTAGTTGTTTGATTGCTTATTTCATTAAAAATGCTATTTTAACTGCCAATTTCTCTTTACTTCTTCAACAGAGATTATCCCTGTTAGAAGATGCGCTCTGCAATGTAGGTTCTGATGACCCATCCATTGTTTCATCAATTATTGATAAATACTCTGAGCAACCCCGTTTGAAGGAGCAGAGTCCTTATAATCGGTTAGTTTTAATAACAATTATTCAGTTTTTCATCAGAAATAGAAAATAGATAGTTTTACAGGATTTGTTGACAGTGCTGCACAGACATAAGAAAAATGTCAATGGCATTAGATTGTTTTGTTTTAACCTGTGTTCAAATTCTCTGCTAATGAAGAAGGGCATGCCATAAATCTTACACTACTTGTTGGATTAAGTATATGTTCTTTGAATTGATTTGTGAATGTTCTTCTTGCTTGTCTTTCCTGGATCCTTATTAATAATGGTCTCTTGGTTAGGTTGGATATGATTAACAAATGCTTCTCACGAAGGACAGTTGAAGAAATTATATCTGCTCTTGTAAGTTATTTAGTTCTACTATGCACGTGATATTTTCAGTCTAATATCCTGTTAGCCTTCCCTTTCCTTGTTTCAATGTATCATACTGTTCATCAGATTCATCAGAGTTTAGTATTCTCTTACTAGTCATATATTTTGTTTGTAAATAGACCACAATTTGATGGAAACTGTGATGCAGGAAAGGGAGGTTATAGATAGAAAGGATAGTTGGATCTCTACTACAATTGAGACATTGAAGAAGGCTTCACCAACAAGTCTAAAAATTTCCCTTAGATCAGTAAGTGTGCATCTTCATACAAGCATGCCTACAACACATAATTCTTTCATGTTTTCTTCTGTGAATTTCCCCACCAATCATGTGAAATTGTATGGTATACTTTTCCCTTTCTGGGCCTTCTTCATATTCTCCAACTTGAATTACCATTAGAGTTATCTAACACCCAACTCTGAGTGAATAAATCATACAATGCTATACATTATCTTGCTACCAACAAATTGGTTCTTAGATGTTTTATCCATAAAGGGTCAATTTGACTTGTGACCATCAAATTACAGCCTTGCTCAAAGATTTTTGATTGTTTTAACTCTAAATTTAATTCTTCTCTTATGTTTTCAGATTAGAGAAGGGAGGCTTCAAGGTGTGGGTCAGTGCCTTATTTGTGAGTATAGAATGGTTTGTCATGTCATGCTGGGTGAACTTAGCAAGGACTTTTTCGAGGTTTCAGTGAACTCTAATAGATGCTACTCTATCTCCTTTTTCTCAACAAAATGAAAGTTCTAAAACGCGGCATTCTTAATGCAGGGTTGCAGAGCAATACTCATAGTTAAGGATAGGAACCCAAAGGTTGACACACTTTCCTTCCTGTATATTAGGCTATCACTCTCAATGGCATGATTTTGAAAGCATAATGTTGCTCTTTCTAAACTGAAATGACTTCTTTTATAACGGGAATCACTCTCTTCTTTCCTTTTTCCAGTGGCAACCATCTAAACTGGAGCTGATCAATGACAGTATGGTTGACCGGTACTTCTCCAAGGTGAATGACAAAGATTGGGAAGATCTAAAGCTGCCTGCGAGGTCTAACTTGCCTGCGTCTGCTATTTCCAAGCTTTAGATGACACTACCAATACCAAGGATGTTTAGAAACACACCGGAAGTGATCAACATCATAAACTCCTACAGCAACCGTATTCAGGTTGAGCCTCTCTGAAGAAATTGAAAATAAATTTCCGGTTGCTGAATATCATAATGGCCAAATAAGAAACTGAACTGTAATGGACTCTGCAATCATACATAATAATATTGTTTGTGAAAGATCTTTTCTTTCCCCCACATGTTAGTCATTCATTCTTCATCATTGGTTAAAATCCTGAAATTAAACTTTACAGAGATTTCTTTTATAGCTTTTTTGACTTTTTCTGAAAGAGAAATGATATAAAAGATGAAAATTTGGATTAATAATGTAATTTGAGTTAGGTTATTAAATGAATTAGTCCATGTAATATTATTGGTCTTAAAAAATAATAAAGAGTTTTTTTTAATATATAAATTATATGATAAGAGAT